GTGCGGGGGCGACACGCGCCAGGTCACTCACTCACCGGGGCGGCCCCCGAAAAAAGCACCCACAGCAAAAAAGCACCCACAACAAAAAAAAAAACACGGGTTCCCCCAGTAGAACCCTGATAAACCCTTCTGAACCCTATATAACCCACCCTAAACCCTAAACCCTAAACCCTAAACCCTAAACCCTAAACACCCCTAGTTCCCAGAACGGCCTGGCAAGCCGCCGCGGTGAGTACTAAGACGGAGGCCACGGCGCAGAGGCCGTGCAGAACATCGGCCTTCCGTTGCCCTAAACCCTAAACCCTAAACCCTAAACCCTAAACCCTAAACCCTAAACCCTAAACCCTAAACCCTAAACCCTAAACCCTAAACCCTAAACCCAGAGGGCTCAGGTTATTAGGGTTTGGTCTTTGAGGGCTTCCTCTTTTTCAAGGGCCCTAGACTTGGGCTATCGCTTTTAGGGTGCAGGGTTCGGGGTTCAGGGCTCAGGCCTTAGGGTTCAGGGTTCAGGGTTTAGGGTTTAGGGTTTAGGGTTTAGGGTTTAGGGTTTAGGGTTCAGGGCTCAGGGTTCAGGTGCCCTAGCTAAGTTGGGTCCCTTATGGGCAACCTTTGTCATCGAATCCTTGAGGCGCCCGGTCAACAAACTGCCCACCCTGCAGAAGCTTACCAGAGAACTCATTGCAGGAAGTTTGGGTTTTTGGGTTTGAGGTTTGTAGGGCTTAATTAGGGCTTTTGGGGTTTTGGGGTGTAGACGCGACGACAGAGAGAGCGAGCGAGAGAGAGAGGGAGAGAGTGAGAGTTAGTTAGTTTGTTTGTCAGTCAGTCAGTCAGTTAGTTGGTTGGCTAGTTAGTTAGCTAGCTAGCCAGTTAGTTAGTTAGTTAGTTAGTTAGTTACCCTAAACCCTAGATGGCCCCCAGTTAGTTAGCTAGCTAGCCAGTTAGTTAGTAAGTCTATGTCTCCGACCCATGGAACAGTCTGCAGCTGATGCGTAGTCGGGAACCCCAAACCCTAAACCCTAAACCCTAAACCCTAAACCCTAAACCCTAAACCCTAAACTCTGCAGGGCGTAGCGCTCAGGCTTGGAAGTGGCACCGAAGCTCTCCACACACCCCCACAGGCTGCCCAGTAACCTAGGCTCAAAAAAGGGTGCCCTTTTTTTGCTTAAAGGGGTTTATATGGGAACCTAAACCCCCCCAAAAAGGGAATAAGGGTACTACTGGGCATCCTAGACACACAGCAAACTCTAACTCTTTGTCACCCTTTGTCGCCCTAAGTACCCATCCGACCTGCAGCGCCAAGCGCGTCATGTCCAACCACGTCGCAAGCTGACCCGGCCTAGGGGAAAAGTTGGGGGCTTTCGAGATTTAGGGGTTTCGGGGCTTGAAGATCTCGGGGCTTTCGAGTTCGAACTTGTTTCGGGGTTTAGGGTTTAGGGTTTAGGGTTTGGGGGTCGGACCAGATTCAGACACACGCTTGCAGCAAAATTCAAGGCGCTCGAAGGAAACAACACACCGACAGCACACTGGAACTGCCGCGGTGGGGGTAGACTCGGCGATGACGAGGAGCCGAAACGAAGAATCCGTCCTAGGGTTTAGGGTTTAGGGTTTAGGGTTTAGGGTTTAGGGTTTAGGGTTTAGGGTTTAGGGTTTAGGGTTTAGGGTTTAGGGTTTAGGGTTCAGGGTTCAGGGTTTAGGGTTTAGGGTTTAGGGTTTAGGGTTTAGGGTTTAGGGTTTAGGGTAACCCTAAATCCTTCGCAGGCACCGAGCAACCCGTAAAGACCCCCCCAATCCCGAGCCCGTTGAAGCCAGGCTGTTCTCTTCACTTCATAGGCTTTCCGGGGATCCAGGCCGCCTGTGCAAGTGGAGTGCAAAGATGATCAGCACGATGGTCCTAGGAATGGGAGGGGGTTCAGGGCACGTACCTGAGACCCCCTTTACCTACAGTTTTCTGGGTTATACCGCGGCTTGTTCAGGGTTGTGACTACTAAATTGTAGGGATATAGAGTCCCAGGTAGGGTTTGGGGTTTGGGGGGTTTGGGGTTTTTCGAGTTTAGGGGCGCGTTTAGGGGGTTGAGGTTGAGGGTTTCGGGTGTAGGGGTTAGGGGATTGCGAGCTTCGGGGATCCCACAACAGGACGTCAATCCTAACTGTTGTATGTAAATACAGGTAAGGTTCAAACTTCCAAAATGACGATACGCAGAACCCTATAACCCCTATAAACCCTGAAAACCCAGATAAAACTCCGTGAACCCTAAAACATCCCTATAAAGCCTACAGAACCCCAAAAAACCTTGTAAACCCTGTAAACCCTGAAAAACAACCTACAACACCCTATAAAATCCCATAAAGCCTAGAAACCCGACAAGCCCCTGTAAACCCAAAAAAAACACATACAAACCCTATGAACCCTATAAACCCTAAATAAAACCTAAACGACCCTTGGAACAAAAACAAGAACAATTTAGAAAAAAACAAACACCAAACGCTAAAAGCCCACTTAACGCCCAAAAACCCTAAAAAAAACCTGAAAAAAAAAACTATAAGCCCTAAAATACCAGACCCTGAAACAAAAAAACCTAAAACAAAAAAATCCTCCTAAACCCTCTAAACCTGAGGGGGCCACACCAGCTTCAGAGGCGACAGGACCAACAAGAGGCACTTGGCCTGCCTGTGGCAGCTCAGGAGGCTTCAGGGATCAGAGGGTTTGGGGCTTGGTGGTTGAGGGGTTTGGGGTTTAGGGGTTGATCTGCCCTAAACCCTAAACCCTAAACCCTAAACCCTAAACCCTAAACCCTAAACCCTAAACCCTAAACCCTAAACCCTAAACCCTGAGGTGGTGCTTCGCTTCTCGTCTTGAAGATTGAGAGTGGCAAGAGGGGCCATCAGTTCGATCAAATTTCATCCCTCTGAAGGCCGTCATATACGGGGGCCTCAAGAAGCAGAATGGGGTTTAGGGTTTAGGGTTTAGGGTTTAGGGTTTAGGGTTTAGGGTTTAGGGTTTAGGGTTTAGGGTTTAGGGTTTAGGGTTTAGGGTTTAGGGCTTAGGGCTTAGGGCTTAGGGTGTAGGGTAGGGTTTTGGGCTTCGGGTTGAGGGTTTGGGGTTGAGGGCTGAGGGTTGAGGGTTGAAGGTTGAGGGTTGAGGGTTGAGGTTTTGGGCTTCAGTTTGAGGGTTGAGGGTTGAGTGTCTTGGGCTTCGGGTTCAGGGTTGAGGGTTTGGGCTTTGGGGTTGAGGGTTGAAGTTGAGGGTTGAGGGGTCGGGGGGTTGAGGGTTTGGGTTGGGGCATAGTGGGCACCATTGATGTCAACACGGCTCATATCCTGCCTGCACAGACACCGCGGCATGTTGCTGAGACGACATCACGCTTCGTCAAGACGTGGCTTTAGACTTTAAAGGGGCTTGGCTCAGGGTAGAGGGCCCTTAACCCGAAACCCGAAACCCTAAACCCCAAACATACTGGCATCCTAGCACAGACACCTACGCCCTTGAAGCTACCCTAGACCCTAAATTCGCAGACCCGCATTGGGGGGGCACTCTTTGGGTTGAACGACTCTCTAGAGAATCACTGAAGCTTGCTCATAAACATCATGGGGACCCCGACAATCCAAGCTGCAGGGTTTGGTTGGGTTTTGGGGTGAGGGTTTAGAGTTTAGGGTTTAGGGGCCCTAAACTTGTAAGCCCACGCAGGTTTGCCGCGTTCTTCTACAGGCAAAGTTGAGCTTGAGCCGGAATTGCAAGATGGCTGCTGATTTTACACCGCACCTCCTTAGGAGGGGGGGACAGACTCAGAAGACTTCGGGGTTGGGGATCTGGATTTTAGCCATAAGGGAATGGGGGTCTTAAAGGTGGCTGGGGGCGTGGTTTTAGGGTGGTTTTGGGTCAAACCCATAAACTGTAGGCACATGGACGCTAGGATTTTTCAACCCAGCGGCACTAGCGGCATGTGGCTTTTGTATGGGTGGGAGCTCACCTGAAGCCCTCATGTAAATGCTTGCGTCCGACCTCGAATTCCACAAGCGGCCCAAAGCGATCAAATGTGCCCGCAGGGAAGCCCCAATATGCAAAGCCGGTGCCCATCTCGTTCGGGAAGGAGCGACCCATGTAGGTGCGGTATTCTGCAGAACGCTGAACGCGCAACACCTTGAAAATATCCGGCCACAGCCGATAAAGGCCCACGTCATGAAATATCGCGACGGCCCTTGAGGACATCGCACTGCGAATGCCAAGAAAATCTGCCAGCGGATGCCGTGGGGCGTGACAACCGTCGATGAGCACGAGGTCGTAGGTGCCGTTCGTGCCCCGCAGAGCCCGGGCGGTGTCGGCTGGCGAGAACCCAACCGTCACCTGAATGTCGCGGCCCGCTTCGGACGCAATGTGGCGCGTGAGCTTCGTCCCGATGTGGTTGCCCCCACCTTCCTCTGGCTGGTTCTTAGTAGGGAATGAGGGAATGAGGTTAGGGCTTAGGGTTTAGGGTTTAGGGTTTAGGGTTTAGGGTTTAGGGTTTAGGGTTTAGGGTTTAGGGTTTAGGGTTTAGGGTTTAGGGTTTAGGGTTTAGGGTTGAGGGTTTAGGGTTTAGGGTTTAGGGTTTATATAATCCCTTCAAGGGTATTTTTGGGCCCTTATTCCCTCATTCCCTACTAAGAACCAGGAAGGTCCTGCTCCGCATCAATGACATCAACGGGAGCATTCCCACAAGCGTAGCTGAGAGTGAGGCTGCTGTACCCGAACGCATTTCCGACCCCGAAGATTCGCCTGGGCCGAACGACGTCACAAAGCAACAGGATCAGCTCGATGTCGGCGGGAAGTATCGCAGAACCCGTCGACAGGCCCTCCAAGGTACGCAGACCTTGGGGACCCAATGAACCCTAAAATAGGGGTCATATACCCGATACGTTCTATAATTCCTATTAAGGTATGTGAACCTCAAACCCTTTGAGGGTTCATTTCGTAGGGTTTCGGGTTAAGGGTTTGGGGTTTAGGGTTTAGGGTTTAGGGTTTAGGGTCTCCCCAAGGAACTGAAGTCTTCGAACTTCCGCAGCTTGAGCAGGAGATGGCCTTGCTCCTCGTAGAGAGCGGACATCTTTCTCTCCAATGCCTCGACCCTGGCCTGTAGCCTTGGTGGCCCAGCAACCATATCTTAGGGTTTAGGGTTTAGGGTTTAGGGTTTAGGGTTTAGGGTTTAGGGTTTAGGGTTTAGGGTTTAGGTTTAGGGTTTAGGGTTTAGGGTTTAGGGTAAAGTGGGCTACCAAGCAGCTCACCATCGAACTCCACGACCTCCTCCCCCCCGACACCAGTATAACCTCAGAGGGCCCCAACAACCCTCTGAAAGACAGATACGTAAACTCCAAACCCTAAACCCTAAACCCTAAACCCTAAACCCTAAACCCTAAACCCTAAACCCTAAACCCTAAACCCTAAACCCTAAACCCTAAACCCTAAACCCTAACCCTAAACCCTAAACCCTAAACGGGGCCAAAGTCACTGTGGCTCAAGCTGCCACTCCTACCGCTGCTCGCCTCCCCCGTGCGAAGCACAGAGAGCTCGGCTCTGACCACGGCCAAATCCGTGCGAAGCCGCGCCGAGACCGCCTTCTCCTGCTAAAAGGGCCCAAAAAACTTTAGGGCTTAGGGTTTAGGGTTTAGGGTTTAGGGTTTAGGGTTTAGGGTTTAGGGTTTAGGGTTTAGGGTTTAGGGTTTAGGGTTTAGGGTTTAGGGTTTAGGGTTTAGGGTACCCTAAAAGGATCCTACAGACAGGGGTTTTATGTGAATCCCCCCTTAATCAAGGCCCTTTTGCCCCAGTGGTTAATGATCCTTACGTTCATGTGGTTTTTGGGGCCCCTCTTCCTGCGCGAGCTGCGCAGCGCACACGCCGCATGCCTGAGTGGGGGGGGGGGGGTTTGGGGTTTAGGGTTTAGGGTTTAGGGTTTGGGGTTTAGGGTTGGAGGGCTTTCGGGGGGCTTTATGGGAGGCCTTTTGAAGAGCTTTAGGGTCTTCAGGGGGGCTTTAAGGGCTTCAGGGGGGCTTTCAGGGCTTTAGGGGCTCAGAGTTGCAAAGGCCGGTGGCCTCTTTATCTGCTCCCCTTATACCTTCATATAGCCCCTCAGAAGAACCCGGGATATATGCCCTATAAAACGGAACCCCTACTTCATTGAAGAGACCGCCAACCCATATAAGGGGCCCCCGTGGTTCTTAGTAGGGAATGAGGGAATGAGGGCCCTATATATAACCTTTAATAGAAGGAATGATTTTGGGCCCTCATTCCCTCATTCCCTACCAAGAACCAGCCAGAAGTTTACCCACTTATGAGCCCCTTGAGTGCCCTAATATGCTTAAAAGTACAGTTATGAGTACAGTGATAATTGGCTACTAAGTACCACGAACCTCCAAGTATAAGTTTAGAGGCGAAAGCGTACCCCCAGAACCCTAAACCCTAAACCCTAAACCCTAAACCCTAAACCCTAAACCCTAAACCCTATTTTCGGGGCACAAGTTTAGAAGGCGACAGCCTCTCCGGAAGGGCCCGCAAGGCCAAGCGAAGCAAAAGTCGCAAGGGCCAAGGTAAGAGGGGCCATGGCAGGCCATTGATAACCCGAACCCTCTGAACCCTACAAACCCTCTAAACCCGTTTACACCCCCGTATAAAATTCTATGAACCCTATAAACCCTATAAAACCCTGTGAAGCCCTAGAAAACCCTGCAAAACCCTATAAAACCTTTTCAAACCCTATGAACCCTATAAACCCCTATAAACCCCTATAACACCCTGTAAACCCTGTAAACCCTGTAAACCCCATAAATCCTAAAAACCCTAACAATCCTATAAACCCTATAAACCCTGTAAACCCTGTAAACCCTATAAACCCTATAAACCCTAACAATCCTATAAACCCTATAAACCCCTGAACCCTAAACCCTGTGGCCCTGCAAATTACTTGCCTGCACTTAGGAGGGTAGCAAAAAACTCAACTTTTAGCTGCCTTGTTAAGAAACCCAATAAACCCAAAAAGGCTAAAGATGTAGTAAAGTTACAGTAAAGCACCACAAAGACTAAGAGTGCCGGCTATCAGCTTCAAATCCCCGTGGTGCTCTCCCGGAGCCTGCCGGGATACTCTGCGCAACCCCTACACTTACAACTTCACTTAAGCGGGCTTAAAAGGTTTAGGGTTTAGGGTTTAGGGTTTAGGGTTTAGGGTTTAGGGTTTGGGGTTTCGGGTTTAGGGTTTAGGGTTTGGGGTTTAGGGTTTAGGGTTTAGGGGTAGGGTTTAGGGCAACTTCACTTAAGGGGGTTGGGAAGGAATTAGGGATTTAGGGCTTAAACGGGTTCGAGCTCCTTGCAACTTCAGCTGGTTCGAGGCTTAAGGGAGGAGTTGGGAGGGAATCCGGGACTTGGGGCTTAAGGCTTAAGTTCCGGGTTGGTTTGCTGCTTGGGGGGGGGGGGGGGGGGGGGGGGGGTTTAGGGTTTAGGGTTTAGGGTTTAGGGTTTAGGGTTTAGGGTTTAGGGTTTAGGGTTTAGGGTTTAGGGTTTAGGGTTTAGGGTTTAGGGTTTAGGGTTTAGGGTTTAGGGCTTAGGGCTCAGAAACTATACACTCACCCCCCGCCCCTCTGATTTCAGTAGCCCTCTTTGAAGGAGCCCTGGGTTAGCAAGCAGGTTTAGGGTTTAGGGTTTAGGGTTTAGGGTTTAGGGTTTAGGGTTTAGGGTTTAGGGTTTAGGGTTTAGGGTTTAGGGTTTCGGGGTTAGGCTGTAGGGTTTAGGGTTCAGGGTTTAGGGCTTAGGGTTTCCGCAATCTAACGGAGCCCTGGCTTAGCAAGAAGGTTTAGATTCAGGGTCTAGGGTTTAGAGCTTAGGGTTTAGGCAGGCATGCAGCTCGCGTTGGATCAGTACAACTGAGTAGAACATGGCTCCAAGTGTATCGATGGGGGCTTTGGGGCTTTGGGCGTTAAAAGCCCTAAACCCTAAACCCTAAACCCGAAACCCTAAACCCTATACTTCTCAAGCCCTGAAACTGCTGCCGGCTGCCTTTTGTTGATGAGAGCTTGCGTTTCGTCTGCCGAGTGCCAGTTGAGAGAGTCGGCGGGGGTCGCAGAAAACGCTTGGACCACATGGTTTAGGGTTTCGGTTGGGGTGTTTAGGGTCTAGGGTTCGATCTGTGGACATGAAACCCTTGCACATGGAATGTTCCCCCTTATGCTAGCAGCCCTCAATAGGGATTACACTTGGGGGGGGGGGGGTACTCTAATCCCTATTAAGGACTGCTAGTATCAGGGGGAGCATCCCAACCTTAAGGAAACTTGGCTGCAGCACCCGCGTTCAAAGGACGCGGGGTCGTGCATCTCGGATGTCTCTTGGTCCACGGCTGCCATGCCTGCCCCCTATCTCGCCGAGAAGCTGAAAATTGAAAACTTGTATCTTGGTAGCCCAGGGTTTGGGTTATTTGGGGTTTGGGGTTCACGGCTACGTTAGAAGGGAACCAAGCGTACCACTGGGCTACCAAGGTATACGGCAGGTATGCCTTTCACGAAATCAATGACCCGCAGGAAGTACCACCGGGGGCATCCCCGCCCAAAAACCTCCTTCTTTTGCTTTTTGGTAAAGGGTTTTCGGGTTTGGGGGACCCCATAAGCCCAAACCCTAAACCCTAAACCCTAAACCCTAAACCCTAAACCCTAAACCCTAAACCCGAATTCTTTGGTGTAGTCCTTTCACTTGGGGATGTGCCCCAGGTGGTTCCAGAAATGCTGTCGCGGTGGCATCTTGTTGTCTTACACAACGCATTCCAAGCACACTTGCTGGCGTAAGGCCCGTCCTGCTACATGACATTCTAGTCACACGTTGCGAACCCTAAACCCTAAACCCTAAACCCTCAACCCTAAACCCTAAACCCTAAACCCCAAACCCTGACTTCTCAGCAGACCCTAAGCACCTGAGGAGCCTTGAGCCCTATTCTCTCGACCCCCTTCATCCTAAACCCCTGACGCCTAAACCCTAAATTCTAACCCCAAGCCCTAAATCCTAAACCCTAAACCCTAAACCCTAAATCCTAACATCGTGAAGTCTCTTGCGGGGGCATGCCAGCTCAGGCATCGGCGCCTCAGTTGGCACATCTGCGGTGGCGTTTAGGGTTTAGGGTTTAGGGTTTAGGGTTTAGGGTTTAGGGTTTAGGGTTTAGGGTTTAGGGTTTAGGGTTTAGGGTTTAGGGTTTAGGGTTTAGGGTTTAGGGTTTAGGGTTTAGGGTTTTAGGTTTAGGGTTTTGGGTTTAGGGTTTAGGGTTTAGGGTTTAGGGTTTAGGGTTTAGGGTTTAGGGTTTAGGGTTTAGGGTTTAGGGTTTAGGGTTTAGGGTTTAGGGTTTAGGGTTTAGGGCTTTAGGGCTTTAGGGCTTTAGGGCTTTAGGGCTTTAGGGCTTTAGGGCTTCAGGGCTTTAGGGCTTTAGGGCTTTAGGGCTTTAGGGCTTTAGGGCTTTAGGGCTTTAGGGCTTTAGGGCTTTAGGGCTTGAGGGCTTTCAAGCTCTGAACCCCCTAAAACCCTGAAACCCCTAAACCTTCTAACCCTAAACCCTCTAACCCGAAGCCCTAAAACCCGAAACTCCAAAACCCTTAGCAACAGATTCGGGTTCAGAGCAGGTTTAGGGCTTAGGACCCCTAAACACCCTAAACCCTAAACCCTGAACCCTAGACCCTAAACCCTAAACCCAAGCCCTAGACCCTAAATCCCAAATCCAAAGCTATCGACTCAATCAACCCTAACCTACATCCAAACTTCCCTGACCCCTAAACCCCTAAACCCCTAAACCCCTAACCCCCTAAACCCCTAAACCCCTAAACCCCTAAACCCCAAACCCTAAACCCCTAAACCCCTAAACCCCTAAACCCCTAAACCCCTAAACCCCAAACCCCAAACGCTAATGTTCACAAGACCAGCGACACCCAAAAAATCAAGCCATACCCCAAATAGAATCGAATCCTTTTGTAATCCCCGTTAAGGACCTTTAGTATAAGGGGGGAACATCCCGCCCCCAAGAATCAAGCCAAAGACCCTAAACCCTAAACCCTAAACCCTAAACCCTAAACCCTAAACCCTAAATCCTAAACCCTAGCCCTAAACCCTAAACCCCCCAAGAATCAAGCCCAAGCTTGCTTCGGGCTCCGACTGGGCCGTGACCCCGTGGTGAGCTTCCTGGGGCGACTTCT